AGCAGGTATTGCCCCTGGTCAGTGTCCCTCCGTGCCCGGGATGGGTTTCATGTCCCAAGCAGTGCCTCTGCTCTTCGCTTACAGCAATCGGCTGCAAAAGACCAGAGATCGAGAATGGAAGAGTGAATGGACTGGAGACCACGTACAAACTTGCAGACATCGTTATCTTCGAATGCAATTTTGGTTACACCTTGAAGGGCTCTCAAGAGTCTCAGTGCCAGTTTGGGGGCACGTGGGACCCTCCTGCCCCCATCTGTGAAAAGAGTAAGTGTCAGTGAGGTGGTGGGTGGTAGCTGATTTCTTCTGAACCACTGTGTGAGTGCACCTGGCAGGGTGCAACAGCCTCATGTTGGAGGTAAAGGGGCCACTCTGCAGGACTGGAAAGGAAAAACATGCAAGTATCTGTCCTCTCACCTTCATAATCCCCATTCAGACCCTTGTTATGTAGGGCTTTCACCACCTTAAATGAATCCACAAAGCAGAGAGAGCCAGGCTGGTGTCTGATCTCGTGTGCAACCACAGAAAGGCCAGAGAAGCAGTTAGGGCCACAGATGGAAACTAACCACTGTAAATGCCTAAATAGTGAGAAATGATCATTCTTGATGTCAATAACCTCAAAAAACCATGAAGGCTGGAAGATAAGTGAGAGTAGGATGGAAACATAATTCCAACAGTGACAGCCCTAGCTATTTGGGAAAAATTAATGGGAAAGGAAGTTAAAAGGCTGCCTTACCCTGCAGAGGGGGTTTGTGATACCAGCTCTTCACCAGTTGTGACTTTTTTCCCACCTTGTAGTGCTAGAGTGTCCTTCCCCTCCAAATATCAAAAATGGCCATCATGAGAGCAAGGATGTCAAAGTGTTCATCCCTGGAATATCAGTGAAGTACTACTGTGACCCGGGGTACGTCCTCACCGGGAAAACAACAGTATCTTGTCTGACATCTGGAACCTGGAGCATCCCTTACCCCCGGTGTGAAGGTGAGCTGTAAATGCTGTGCCTGCAGAGAAAAGGGAGACCTTCGTGGTCTCACAGCTTTCCTGAATTTTCACCTCACGCAAACCGTGGGGGAATACCCAGCTCTGGCGACCGCTTCCCCAGCCCATGCTCTGCTGCTTTTCACTTCCAGTGATCACCTGCATGAGCCCCAACATCCAGAATGGAGAAGTGGCTGAAGGACAGAGAGCTGAGTACCATCCTGGCGCCAACGTCACCTTCCAGTGCCACCCGGGCTACGTGCTGTGGGGCAGCCGGGGAGCCAAGTGCCAGCCCAATGGCCGCTGGGCGCCTGCTGTCCCCACCTGCAAGCCAGGTGAGTGCAGGCACGTGGGGGTTGAGAAAGAGGATGCTCAGCGCCGTCCTTGTGCTGGAGGGGCCCTGAGGTCGTGCTCTCTGCCTCCTTTGCGTCGCTTCAGGTGTGATGGTCTGTTGCTGAGTTACACGTGCTCCTCCTGTGGGCCAAATCACTAAAATGCCGCTCTCTGCTCCTGCCCTGTTAGCCCTGCCTTGTCCAGCCCAAAGACGACACTGCAGTGTAGGATGTGTGGAGCGTAGAAACACCAAACTGGCAAAACTGGTTATTTTGGGGGTTGTTTTAGTTTGGGTTTTTTAAAGAGCGTACAAATTAGGTGCATGTGTCCTTACTTGCTAAGTAAGTGTTAATCTATGTAGATAAATCTCAGGATACATAGAAGAGATATTAATACTCTGGAGGTTTGTAACAGTGCCTACCAATGCACTCATTCCTCTTCAGCTGCCTTTCACAGCCAGCACGTATTTCTCATGTACATTTTGTTTCTGGACAGCTGGCTGTAGGGCACCAACAACGTTATTGTTTGCTGAGCTAAGCAAGGAGTATAAGAATCAGACTGAGTTTCCTGTTGGGAAGACTGTGAAGTACACTTGTCGGCCTGGATACATGAAACATCCACAAATATCACCAACTATTACGTGTCTTGAAAACCGGACGTGGTCTGAAGCCCAGGAGTTCTGCAAACGTACGTTTTGCAGATGCTTCGTGTTTGTTTAAATCCCAGTGTGACAACTGAAGCCTTGTAATTTCTCCCTTTCGGTTCCTTCCTCTGGAGGGTTTGGGCAGACTCCCAGAATTAGTGTCCCTTTTCCTATGGCATTGAGTTAAAGAAGCTTAAACCTGGGTCTTCTTCTGCCCAGGGAGAAAGTGTGATCATCCAGGAGAACCGGAGAATGGCAGAGTTATCGTCACAACAGATGTCTTCTTCGGGTCAACAGTGAATTACACCTGCAATGAAGGGTGAGTCCCAGCCGAGCTCCTTTGCCTCATTCAGATGAAACCAGCAATGCTTCTTCCTGCCACTCGCAGGCACCGCATGTCTTCCCCCAGGAGACCAGTGCTTGTGTCTCTGAGCTCAGAACACTCCAGGGTTGCCTGCACAAGGCAATGCTGGAGGAGAAACTGGAGTTCTCAGGGGCTGAGAGAAAACAGAAATCATCCAAACGGTCAGGGAAAACCTCAGAATCCTTTGGGTGGTTTAAAACGCTTTTGGCACTAAAGCAATTCTGGTCTTTGCAATGGTCTACTTCTAGTCTAATTTCTAGTCCAAGCGGCAACAGAAATTGGAGAAGGGGATTTATTGATAAAGTTTTAAATGCCAGTTAGAGGGCATGACTGTCTGAGTCTGGTTGTGTAGAGCATATGAGGGCGAAAGGGAGTTTTATTTTGGAAGCTTTGGCTTAAACCAGAAGTCATTAAAGTGGACTTTTCTAGAGGACAGAAAGAAGAGGAGAGGGCATGGCAGCTCCCTGAGCACCCAGGGATGTGCTGCCTCTGCTGATCGGGGAGATCTGGGGGGAGGTCCCCCCATGAGCCAAGGTTCATAGCTTTAAATGGCAGTGTTAGATGGCAGCTAAGGCAATGCTTGGTTGCTGTGGGAGGTACGACCTCCAAGGACAGTCCTGCAGTGACAAGAGTGACTTTGTTTGACCCCAGGTACAGGCTGGTTGGAGCGTCCCAGCGGCACTGTGTGATTTCGAGCTCTGGGACGCGAGTGCAGTGGAGCAGCGATGTTCCTGTCTGCCAGAGTAAGTACGCTGCAGCAGGAGCTGAGCAGAGACTGAGGAGAAACCAAGCACAGCACAACGAGATTCAGACTGGTGCTTTCCTTGGGAAAGATCTGCCAAGGCAAAGACAGAGAGCATCACCGCTGACATGGGGACATGGTTTCATCCCCACTGGTTCCCTTCCTGGGAAGCACGTGTGTCCTGCAGACTCTGGGCATTGACGCAGCACTCATGCTAAAAG